GATTCAGATCGTGCAGTGTGTCAAGCATATTCCCATTAACTTTGATGTTGATGGCAGGATATGTCATCTTGTGTCCTTTTCTATTTTGGACAGATTACCGTTCAAGATGGTTTTTGGCCAGCGATGGTTGAGAATCCCAGGGGCTGTTATCACTTGTGCTACTGATAGTGCAAGTGCCAGATCCAGCAGGCAAGTATGTGACCTGCATGCAGGGATATAAGAAGGGGGCGGTCAAGGATAAGCCAGGGAAGATGTGCATGTCGGCACCAGTGTTCTTCACCTACCTAAATGTGTCAGCATCGCAACTAAGGACTCTATGTAGCATCCGTCCCTACAACAGAAGCAGGCCGTTCACAGCAAAGATGGAATGAACATAATACAGCAGCTTGTAAAGCAGTGCGAGGATCTGCAAGCACGTTGAGGAAGAAGTCAAGAAGGATGACGAAGCATCTGCATTGACGAATGCGCCCTGAAGAACAATACAATCAAGAAGATATGAGCCACTGCTATGCATTGATGACCTGTTGGAAAGAATGGTCTTGTCCATGATCAACCGAAAGAGTTCACATCATCAAGTCGAGGTGGACCCTGTAGATCGGCAGAAGACAGCCTGCAGGACCAGATATGGCCACTACGAGCTTGTTGCCGTGCCACTTGGTCTGACAACTGCACCTGCAACTTTTCAGCGGCCAATGAATGATCTGCTCAGGGTGTACTTGGATCAGTTTGTGGTTGGCTACCTGGATGACATTCTCGTGTTCGGTTCCACCAATGAAAAACGCATGGAGCATCTCAAGGCCGTCTTTGAGGCACTACACAGGGGGAAGCACAAAATCAACATGAAGAAAAGTGAGTTTGACAAGGAAATCCCATACCTTGGGCATGTCATTGGTAGGTCTCGAGTTCAGCCGGAGGCGAAGAAGGCATAAGTGCTTGCAGAATGGCCAGGGCCACAGACAATGAGGGATATGAGGTCGTTTCTTGTTGGCATAATCATCCACTACAAGGAAGTTCACTGAGGATCGAGCAACCATTGCCACACCATTGACCCATTTGGCACAGAAACGCATCCTCTTCGAGTGGACAGAGGAGTGTGAGAGATCCTTCCAAACTTTCAAGGACCATCCCATCGAGTATCCAGTTCTTAAAGGTTCTTCATTCTGCAATACCATTTGTGATGACTATGGATGCCAGCCAACGTGGTATAGGATGTGCCGCACCAGGATGATTGACATGGCCTGAGAGCCGTGGAGTATTTATCCAAGCTTATGCCATCAAAGAGAGGCGTAGCAAGCACGTATGACCTGGACCTGCAACAAGGTTGCTGATGTGCCCCGATGGGAGCCCTCCTATCCAAGTAGAAAAGTCAACGACAGTATGACTGACAGAATCGCAGGAGCTTACATAGCTGATCCCTTCTATTCTCAGATTATCGCAGACTTGGAGGAAGATCCAGTTCTGCAACAGGTTACAGGCTGTGTAGAGGTCTGTTGTTTGCGCAAAGCAGGGAAGTGCAGAGACTGTGCATGCCCTCGCAGCAGAATCCGAGGGCATAAGTTATTGGGTAATGTCATGACGCACAGGGACACTTCAGGTTCAAGAGGACTTACGTAACTGCTGAAGTGATTTTACAGGACTACCACACGAGCAGATGCAATGGAGTACATATGAAGTTGCATGGTTCATCAGTGAACGAAAGGGCGAGATCTGTGTCCCTATCGTACTCAGACCTCTTCCTTTTTTAACTTCGTTCTTTGTTAACAAAGTTTTGCATTTTTTTATTATAATATGAGAATCAAGGAGGCCGGGAAATCTCAACCCGGGTAATGGGGCCATTACCCAGCTTCGGCTGATGCTGAAAACCAGGTCCAGTGTCCCATCAGAAGCAGACTTCAACAAAAGGAAGACTGGACAAGAAACACCAAACAACTAAAAAAATGGAAGAATGGAGACTCCTGTCAACCTCGATTCCTCAGTCCTGATCTGGCAACTGAGTCCTGTTCCAAAGGGACCTGAAAAGTCCATATCTGTGCACTTCATAGGCGGCGCACCGCACTCCCAGAATAGGAATGACTTGCAGAATAGGAAGGACTCGCTGTTGATTATTGTTGATCTTTTCTCCAAATTTGTAAGGCTGGTACCGATATAGAAAGGGCATGCTTCAGCAAAGGATTTGACAAAATTGTTTTGCGAACACTTGCTTCAGAGTTTGAAGTCCCTGCTTCACATCTTTAGTGACCAAACCACCCGTTTTACCAGCGAAACATGGGAGAATCAAATGGCGTTCACTGGTACATACCTCAAGATGAGTTATGCCAATCATCCGCCCAGTGACAGTTAGACTCAGCACATGAACAGTTCAGTTCATGGGGGTGATCTGGCATCTGATCAGGCCTGATCAGATCGACTGGGATCAAGGTGGCAAGTGTCTACAACTCCTAAGTGCAGCAGGGTTCTACAAGGACACCTAACAAACTCCACCTCAGGAGGGGACTGAGAGCGCCAGTTGACTTCTCGCTTCTCAAATTGCAAAGGCTAAGTAACATAAAGGTAATGTATTGGACAGCAAATCCGCGAATGATGGTTCGAATCCGTCCTCTTTCTTTTTTCTTTTTTTTTTTGAATTTTTTGAATTTTTTCTCTTTTTTTTTTTTGTTGAAAAACAGGTCCTTAACACCCTCACGCATTCTTCTGTTTGGCCGAAGGGTCCCTGACCAGCATTGATTACTCCTTTAAAGGAGGATTGGCTGTCAGCTTGCCCTTCCTTTCGAATCCGTCTGTAGCCTACTTACACGGCGAGTTGACCAAGTTGAGGGGGGTTCTGAAGAGATTGATGTTGCCTGTTTAGAAGTGGATTCGAACCGCTGACAGAAGGGTTTTCAGTCCTTTGCTCTGACTAACTGAGCTATCTAAACAAAAACAAAATCAAATCGAACTATGTTCAATTCAAAAGTACCCACCTAAACTTTGGACTTTGTGAAGCAGTTCGCAGAACAGCTGCGACAGACCATCAAGAATATGCAGAAGTCGCAGACAGAGACAGAGAGTCATAGATCAACAACAAGTATTACTGCAGCTGGCATCACAGGAGACCGGGGGTTAAGGTTATAACGGGCCATGTAATTACACGTCCTCCCTTCCATTTCCGTTCGCTGCTTGTAGAAGCAAGTACACAGAAGTATCAGCCACCTTGCCCATGATGTTCCTCATTATTGACCCAATCCCCACCCTAAGTCCTCAATTGGATGAGGATATCTTCATCAGACCTGCCTCCTCTGCAGATCACACCCTACACCTTTGTCTCCCAACTCCAGACAAGGCTGCAAGAAGAACACCGAGATTGAAGGCACCTTAGCTTACCTTCTCCTCTTGTACATGTCCACTCCTTTGAGGCGACAAAGCAAAGACATGGCCAAAGCCTCCGCGCCACCACTTATGAAGTGCTCACTTTCTCGCATGCATCTGGCGATCGACAGTCGGTCAGCCACGCACTCACCCATTCAACTGTGTTGACTGAAGCAAGTCAACAACACACTCAGCCAGTCAACCCTGTTGACTAAAGCTGGTCAACCAAGTACTCAGCCATGCATCTGTGTTGGCTAATGCAGTCAACCAGGCACTCAGCCAGTCAACCATGTTGACTAAAGTTGGTCAACCAGGCACTCAGCCATTCAACTGCATTGATGAAAGCCAGCCGACCAGTTACTCAGTCGATCAATACTGTCGACTAAAGGTGGTCGACCAGGCAATCTGCCATGCAGCTGTGTTGACTAATGCCGTCAAACAGGCACTCAGCCAGTCAACCATGTTGACTAAAGCTGGTCAACCAGGCACTCATCCAGTCAGCCCTGTTGACTCAAGAGAAGGTTCCTACCGTGGACATCGTACCACATTCTTTAGGTGTTCTTAGACGGCCGTGGCACCATTCTACCAACCGGCGAAGGTCAAAATATTTGAGCTCCAATAACCAAAATCCATGGGGAGTTGAAAAGAAATGCAAGGAATTAAATTCCGGCATCCGTTGTCAATCGGCCTCTTACTGGTAGTCTTCCTGTCACCTCAGGATCATGAAACAGCATGTGGCATGCCTTAACAAACCAAAAGGCTGATGCAATGGCCCTGTGCACCGATGATCGTACTTTGGGGACCTTGCCGCCTCTGTTATGTCTATCTGACGTAAGCGTTGGGCACTGGGCCTGTTGTTAATAAGAGTTTCATTTTTTTTAAAGGGCTAATGTGACAATTGTTTTCATTCATGGAAGGGCAGGGTTTACCTCCTCTCATCTCCCTCCCTCCACACCTCCCTCTTCTCCCCTCCACAATTACATCACCCTTGTGCAACCCCAACTACTAAAACAAGGGCACAACTCCTGTTGATTGGTTCTCTTGGCTGCCAATCACTCAAGGGCAACATATACTGCAGCTCTGACAAACGGAGTGGCCATTTGTAAGACGAAATGGGGTTCTGCGAATGAAAGAGTCTTCTTCAAAATGATCCAGTTTTCTCAGAGTGACAGATCATGCCCACCTTGAAACTATCTGAGCACCTATTTGATGGGTGTTTGTCCCCACTTTTCCGAAGGGGAGCGGGGGAGGGAAGGGATCGGAACCTAAATGCATGAGAGAAGAGAAAGATTTATTTTGGAAAATCTGCATCAATAAGAAAGAAAGCATTAGCACAGCAGTGAGGAGGACGAGGAGGAGCAGCAGCAAGAAAAAGTATTGACAGCACCAGCACTACCCACTGCTGCCAAAGGAGAAGAAGAAGAAGAAGAGAGGAGGATTGGGCTTCTCCTCCTCTCTCTGGGGGGCCATCTTCTTCCACCTCAAGAGTCAGCATCTTTTAGGGATTGATTGTGATTAAACCTGTTGGTCAGATTGACCAACAATGGGGTGTCATACCTGAGGGAGAAGAAAGGGGACAAGATTGGGTGCTGAGCTGGGCTAAGCCTACAGAGGCAGCCCGAGCAGCCATGATGATGGAGGGAGGGAGGGCTCACCATCGCCAAGAGCTTTGCTAGGAACATCGGCCAGCTTGATAGAGAGGTGGGTGGATATCTGCCAGCTATGGCAGCTTCACCAGTCCTGCAGAATACGCGATAGCAAGAATAATGAAAGGTGCAAATATGCCCAAGAGGCCAATCAAGGCCACTGGGGACAGCAATGGTGATTTCCCAGATCTTTCATCTGCCGTTTGCCAGTACTCTTTTGGTTCGTCTTCTTTCTTGATGAACTTCTGTTTCTTTCCTCCGGAAAATAGGGCCACGGGCACACCTGCGCTTGCGGAACGTCGAGAAGGCGCCATAGCTCTCGTGTGATCAATGTCAACGCCAAAGGACTTCCCGATAGAGACCTTGCCACCTGATGTTGAGCACAAGAGACCTGAGGTTCTTCTTTCCACAGACATGCTGGGGGAGGAGACCTGTCGCCTCGGCGGTAGTGACAAGGATGTCATTGCTGTCATCGACGTCCCCTGGACAGTGCGGCAGATTGACGCATCCCTTTGGAGGGCGGTGCAGCCAGTCCTCTCTGCCGCCATAGCCGGTGAAGGCAGAGTCAGAGAGGAACAACACACACTTGCTGCCGTCATCTTTGGGTGAGTAACAAGCAGGCGATCGAGAGGAATGAAACACAGTTCAACAATAAGGCAAGGTGATTGTTGCACCAGAGATTCTTGAGCCTGTGCACGAAACTTCAAACTTCAAAGAGCTTCCTGCACCAAGCAAGCCACCAGACAATGCTGAGGTGCCATCTCCCATGAGGTCCCAAACATTCTACGTAATGCGCTACCCTTAACCCCAAGCATTTTGTGCAATACCCTAACCCTTGAGACAATCTTTCCGTTCACCATATTGATTGCTTGTACGTCGGTTATTATTACCGAATTTGAAGAAGAAAGGGACACTGCAGTGCAGCACAGTTTGTCTCTTTTCTAAAGGCCTGGTACACTACGACAGAGGAACAGGGAGGCATATCGTTATAGGTTCTATGCCGCAACCAACGCAAATCATGAAAGAATGGACCCAAACACCGATCAAGTAACAATAGAAAAGAATAGGAGAAAAAAGGCCAGTTACCAGTGGGCTCCATGTTTGGCTACGTGTTTTGGGTGCTTATTTGTGGGTTCATGGTCTGACATTGGACGAGTAATTCTGCGATGTTCGCTGTTTCCCTCCTAGAGTCTTTCCCAACTTGAACCCCCTTTCTTTTTCTGTAAACAAAGTTATAACGAGCTTGGGTACCCAGCCCATGAGGCTGAACGGTACACAAACACGACTGTTACTGATTACGCACTGAGGTTTCTCATAAGCTAATGCAGCAAACAAGTCTGTGACAAATGTTATCTAGCATCCTGCACCTGTTTGCTCTGGGCATATACTCCACACTACCGTCTTCACCCAAATAGAACACCCGGCCATTATCACTGCATCTGGACAGAAAATTGCCCCAAATACGGCTATATTGACCGGGCGTTATATTCGGGTGAAGACGGTAGGACTTTTCTCAAGTGCATCTATCTCGAAGTCCTACGATGAGTATGGTCTTCTCTCTGTTTCTCTTCTTTTCAAGTTTTCAATCATTCGGTTTCTCCGCTTGGTAGTGTGTTGTGTCTGTCCCTTTACTCACTCTGTCCAAAACCCTAAAGCTTTGACTTTTGCTCACCGTCCCTCCAGTTCAGTTCCACACCTACCTCCCTTCTAACGATGGGCACAGATGCACGGAAATCAATTCTCTGGCCATATGCATCATTACCCTCAGGGCAACAATGCACCGTATTAGAGAAAAGATGGTATTATTCGAACTGCTGATCTGCTGCAAGGAACCGCCGTCAAAACGATCACAACAAAGCCTTAGGGTCGTACCTTTTGGCCAAGTCATTCTGGGGTCAGATGTCGGACCTAGAGCCTCTACAGAGGCTGCAAAAAGTGCTTAGGGTTGTAGGCCTAGGGTCAGAGGTCAAAACGAGGCACCCAGGGCCTCCAGAGCTCAAGTCAAGGCCCTAGGAAAGTCAACAGTCAGGCCCTACGGGTGCAGTAGTCCAAGGGCCAAAGAAGTCTCCAGAAGCCAGCCACGGCCACGGATCACACACATCCAAAGGTTCAGAATCTGTTTCCGGAAGCATCCAAGGCCCATCGGGTCATGGGATACACTGGCTGCACCAAAATCTGGGCCGCACAAGATTGGAGAATTTTGGTCATTCAAGGAGGCAACAGAAGGCATGCCCAGCCAAGTAAACATCACAAAAGCCTGCCCTGGCTCACGTCAGTCATTCATTCTGCCTTGCTCTGCTGGAGGCTGGAGGCTGGAGCGCTGTTTGAGCACTAGAGCTGGAGGGAGGAAGAAAGGAGAGAGACAGAGTGAGTGAGAGTGAGAGTGAGAGTGAGAGTGAGAGTGAGAGTGAGAGTGAGAGTGAGAGTGAGAGTGAGAGTGAGAGTAGCAAAAGCTGAAGTAGAAGGTATGCTGGCACCATAGCTCTTAAGATGAGAGAGCAATGTTCGAGGGAGAGACAATATCCTGTGGTGAGAGAGGAGAGTAGGAAAGAAGCTTACAAGGTCTTACCTGTTGATGTCACCAAGGGGAGAGAAACAGTGTTTTGCTTGTAAAGGCCGTCATTGTGTGCACAAGTGTTATTCTTCATTGTGCCAAAGTGATACTGTGTAAGAGAGTGACTTTGCACATCGGCGAGGTGTTCCGAAGAAAGACACTGGCCTCATCATTGATAGAGGAGTGAAGAGAGAATCATGACTGCAACAGCTGTGTGCATGTTCGTGTGTGAGCACGGAGTGCATTGGGTCCATTGTGACAGATGTTTGAGCCTCTCAGCTGTCGTGTACATCAAATGTAAGCCATATTTTGTGACTCTGAGCGTTTGGATTGACCATACATTCCTGCCATAAGCGTTAAGAGCCCCAGAGGAAAGGAGTTGGTATGCGCACTGTACACTTCACCTCCCTCATTCAGTCTTGCTTTGTAGATTCAAGTTTCTCCTGCAAGTTGTATGAGGCCATTAAATCTATGTGCCAATGCCGGTAAAGACCATTTGAGACAAAGAAAAGAAATCTTGGGCACTGAAAAAGAAGCATGCATTTCACTCTTAGCCCAAGCCAGCACTGTCCACTGGGGAGGGTGAAACACGCACATCTTCTGCCTAAAGCAGAGACTTGGGAGGGAGGATTCTATGATTGTTTTAGAAGTGCTGCCGTTATCGAGCCCCGGGCAGATCTTATGCCTGAAGCAGAGAAGCCAAAAAGCGTCCCACTTGTCCTCCAGCCCCCACCTACCCCCACCCATCTGGTTCCTAATCTCCAGCCTATAGTAGAGCCCTCCCTGCAGTGATTGTGATCCCTTTTAGGGTCCCCCTTATCCTCTTATCCTTTACCCTACCCTTGTGACTCCTACTCTCCGGTCTAGAGCAGTGCCCGCCCTGCACACTGGCGGCCATCCCTTTCTTATCCTCTTGGCCCTACATGCAGAACAGACGGTCTGTCTGCCCAGCTCCCTTCCCAAGTGCAAATCCTACGCAACCATTCTCCCCACCAACCCTCCCTCCTACATCCCCCCCTCCCCGAGGAGAGATGGATACCAGTAGTTCCCATGTAGAGACACTAACTCTACATGTTAATGTGTTTACATTCCTAGGTGGGGGGCAAACACATGCAGTATCAGCGTTCGCAAGAGAGGCTGTGGGTCAACACAACCCACAACCTCTCCATTGAAACACTGATGCTTTAACCAACTGAGCTGGATCTCCATCGAGGGAGTCGATGCTCTGCAGGGGGGAATAGGCGCAGATGGGGGATTATCCTACTCTGAATCGTGGGTGACAATGGAGGGATAACGGGGTTAAGAGGCCTTGGTCAACCGTATGGGAGTACTGTTTTGTGAATGCATAATTAAAATGTGGGTGGTGAGTGTCCTTGTAGAGAGCGAGAGCTGATTGATTATGCATTCACTACAAGGATGTCGTACCTAGACCACCCTACAAGGACCAGCCCTGTCGTACGGTCAACCTGCCCACCCTTGGCTGAACCGTGTGTGGGGCCAGCCCTGTCGTATGGGGCCTTTTCTAAAGCAGGTATGGTTGTAGATTGGGCCCATGAGCTAACCACAAGGCACTCCAGACGTCGTACCTAGACCACCACCCATTTACTGAGCTACCACAGGTGGTGTCTGATGCCTCGCCACCAGGCAAAGGCCCAACCTATGACAGCCCAGGACCTACCCTCAGGATGCTGTCCTAGAGTAGCTTTTCGTACTGTTTTGTTTGAACTATCGGAAGGTCGGCCCCCACCAAAAATTATTTCAGGGCCTAAGTAGTTTTAGTTTTTTCTCGAAAAGTATTTTTTGGGTTCTCTACAATGTGAGGCAGAGAGCGCAAATGGGTAACCGTTGCCCGTACCCAACTGTAACCGCCAGCTTACAGGCGGGTATGGGTACCCCTTCCTAAGGGGGAGTTGGGTATGGGCAGGCACAGTCAAAAGGTGGTGGTTGTTAGGGCGGGCACAATTGCCCTTTTAGGAGATCATGGGTGGGTAGGGGCAGGTAGGGGTAGGGGCAAAAAAAAAAAACAGTATGGGCGGCCAGAAAAAAAGTAGACGGGTATAGGCAGGTTCGGGTGCCCAAAAAAAAAAAGGGGTGGGTACGGGCGGCTAGAGGTTCCCATCGGGTAACCGTGGTATACCCGATGCCAGTGTTGTAGCTTTGCAGGCTTTGTATTTTTGCTCAAGCGTGACGCTTTTCTCATATTCCAAATTTCTCGCTTTCCCATGAACAACTGTTGCTGTTGCAGCAGTAGCTGCCACATCTCGAAAAAAAAATAAAAAATTATGGGCAGTTAGGGGCAGTTAGGGGAGGGTGGGTGACGAGCACGGGTCGTTACGGGTGGGTGCATACAATTATGGGCAGGTACGGGTGGGTACAGGTAAAGAAAACTTGGGTAGGGTAGGGTATTGGTGGTTAACAAACAGTTTGGGTTCAGGTGGTCATGGGTGGTTTTGAAAAAAATTGTTCATGGGTAGGTATGGCCAGTAACATGCTGAAGAGGTTCAGGTAGGGTAGGTCTGGGTATACCTTCTTTGTAAGCAGGTGGACATGCGTAAAGGGTCCGGCAGGCCAGGAATACAGTGGGTATGGGTGGTTGGTTTTCAAAGAGGGTGTGGTTAGGTCAGGTACAGGTATTCCTAAAAATCCCAGTTGCAAACTCTGATGTGAGGTATATCCATATAAATTTTCAGGGCAGTTGAGTCTGTCAAAAAAAGGGAAAATCTCCAAAGATGGCAGTGTCCAGAACATCCTCTCCCGCTCACTATTTTGTTTTGTTTTTTTCTTTTTCCATTTTTCTTTTTTTTTTCTTAAACGTTTTTGATGTGTGTGTGTGAAAGAGTGAGTATGAGAGAGAGAAGCAGGAGACGAACAGAGAGGGGAGGGGAGTGTGTAAGAGAGAGAGGGATAGTGTTTGAGAGAGAGAGAGAG